GCTCACCCCGGATCTCGGGGCAGCCACATAGCCACCTGTTAGGGTGGGGCTTGAGGTCCAGCAACCCTCAGGCCTCAAGCTCTGGCAGCAGCATCACATCATCCCTAGAGCACCAGGCCTTCAGCAGAGCAGGCGGGCAGGGAAGACTCCGGACTGCTGGCCCCGAGGCAGGAGCTGTCCTCCCCCTGGTTTCTGCTGCTGGGGCCTGGCCTGTGTGTCCTCCCAAGGGAGTGAGCACACAGACGTCTCTCGGAGCCCCCAGGAAACAACAACAAACAATCAACACGAGTCACCTCTGTTCATGGAGGGGCCACGGATGTCAGAGTCAAACTCTTCTCACAGAGCTTTCAGACTGATTTTGGGGGGCTAGATCCCCAGGTCTTTAAGAAGAGGTGTCTCTCACTCACTACCACTGAGCCAATGCCACTGTAGAGCCACCTTCCAGGACAGAGCAGAACCTCCCTGTGGGTTTCTGAGACTGTCAATCTTGATGTAGAAAAATCTCATCATTCTCCCAAGGAGTGGCTGGCTGGTGGTTTTGAACTGCCGACCTTGCAGGTAGAAGCCTGGTACATAACACATGCTCCCACCAGCACTACCCAAGAGACATCGCCAGGTGGACTCAAATGCCCAACTTTTGGCAGCAGTGAGCATTTCACTGTGCGTTCATAGGAACTTACTCAGCCCCCATAGGCCTAGCCCAAGTCCCTGTCCTCCAAGAAGCCTGCGCTGTCAGTGATACCGTTCCTGTTCCTGCCACCACTTCTGCCCTGGCGAGTGTTCAGTGCACGTCCCCAGGGGTCCAGCTGGGCACCAGAGACCTCATTGCAGTCCTGTGGGGAAGGGACTAGGGGACACGTGAGGAAACTGAGGCACAAGGCGATGCTGATAGGACTTTCCCAAGGTCACAGAGTCCAGGTCTTGGAGGACAGGAGTGTGGGTTATCTCTGCTACCAACCGGGCTCCAGGCATTGCTGAGTGGGTTCTCAGTCCACGTTTCATGAGTACATGGAAGAGACACCAGGGAGTGCTCCTCAGGCTGGGTGGGTGTGGGTGGGCTGCCTCTCAGGGGCCCTGAGCTACCTGGCTTCAGAGGCAGGTATTCCAGCCTGCCAGGTGACTGCAAGCATTGGGTGGGGGCAGAGACACCACTCATGGAGACACTCCCTGCCCCACAACCTCAAAATGAGTGCCCACTTGCTCCCCCACATTGAGGGCTGCAGAAGCTGATGTTTCTCAGGGACCAAGTCTGGTTCCTCTATTAGGGGGGTGACAGGGGTGGTGGTAGGAGGGGATCTCCTATTGAGGATCTTTCTAGCAACAGGAAAATGGTGCTCCACTTTAGCCTGAGTCAGGGCAGATGTGTCCAACCAAATGGTAAGTGTTGACTCCGACCCATTCGGACTCACAGAGAGCTGGCTGAGGGCCGGGGCAGCCGCGGGCTGCATGAGGGGGGACATGGCCCAGGCCCCAAGGTGTTCTCAGTCTGGCTCCCATCCGTGGCTCAGGGAAGCACAGCTCCTGAGTCATCTGGATCATCCAGGCAGGAGCAGCCAGGTGAATGAGTTCTGAATAATGTGCCAAGCCCACCTGGAGGCTTGTCAAGTGAGGCTCCCGGAAGAGTCCTGAGTAAACGAAGCAGAGGAGGAAGTGGCAGCTGTGAGAGTCAGAACACACCCTGACTGCCTGGCTTCTCTGGGTCTTGAGCAGGGCCTTGGACAGGTCATAGTCTGCCACTATTTTGATCACTCCCTCACAATGGGAAGGAGGTGGGTTTCCCTCTCTGACAGGTTTCCTGCTCACGGGGGTTCCGGTTTGCCCGGTTTTGCTGCGCAGAGGTAAGAATCCTCCAGCACACAGAGAAACTGCACACTGCCATCCAGTCCACCCCGGCTCATCGCAGCCTGCAGGACACGTGGGAACTGCCCTCTGAGGGCGTCTGAAACTAGCTCTTTGTGGGAGTAAAAAGCCCCATCTTTCTCCCAAGGAACAGCTGGTGGTTTTGCAGTAGCAAACCAGTTTGCAGTCAGCAAACTGCTGACCTTGCAGTAGCAGGCCAAGGCGTAACCCCTATGCCACCAGAAGGCAAGAAAATAACCATGGCTCCATGTTATCCTGGGAATGTGACCCCCCCGCCCCGTTCCCCACCATGGATTTAGGGGTGCAGGCTCTGAGCAGACAGAGTCAAGGCAGAAGTGGGCTGGACCTCAACTCTTTTTTGTTAAATCATTTTATTGGGGGCTTGTACAACTCTTATCACAATCCATCCATCCATCCAGATGTAGAGCACATTTGTACATTTGTTGCCCTTATCATTCTCAAAATATTTTCTTTCTACTTGAGCCCTTGGCATCAGCTCCTCATTTCCCCACACCCCTCACAAACCCTTGATAAATTATAAAAAAAATTTCATGTCTTACACTGTCTCATGCTTCCCTTCACCCACTTTTCTGTTGTCTGTCCCCCAGGGAGGAGGTTATATGTAGATCATTGTGATTGGTTCCTCCTTTCTCCCCCACCTTTCCCTTCCCCTCCTGGTATGGCTACTCTCATTATTGGTCCTGAGGGGTTCGTATGTCCTGGATTCCAGCTCTGAACTGTATCAGGGTACATCCTCTGGTCTAGCTGGATTTGTAAGGTAGAATTGGGGTTGTGATAGTGAGGAGGAAGTGGGGAGGAAGCATTAAAGAACTAAAGGAAAGTTGTATGTTTCATTGTTTCTACACTGCACCCTGACTGGCTCGTCTCCTAAGGGGGTGTCCTATTGCCTACAGATGGGCTTTGGGTCCCCACTCCACACTCCCCTTCATTCACAATGATATGATTTTTTGTTCTTTGATGTCTGATACCTGATCTTATCGACACCTTGTGGTCACACAGGCTGGTGTGCTTCTTCCATGTGGGCTTTGTTGCTTCTCAGCTAGATGGCTGATTATTTATCCTCAAGTCTTTAAGACCCCAGACGCTATATCTTTTGATAGCCGGGCACCATCCGCTGTCTTCACCACATTTGCTTATGCACCTGCTTTGTCTTCAGCGATCGTGTCAGGAAGGTGAGCATCATGGAATGCCAAGTTAATTGAACAAAATGTTCTTGCATTGAGGGAGTACTTGAGTAGAGATCCAATATCCATCTGCTACCTTAATACTAAACCTATAAATATATGCGCATAGATCTATTTCCCCATCATCATATATAAAAATATTTACATATGTACATGACTGTATTTAGATCTTTATAAATGCCCTTTGCCTCCTAGTTCCTTCCTCTATTTCCTTTTACTTTCCTCTTGTCCCACTATCATGTTCAGCCTTCATTTGGGTGTCAGTAATTCCTTTTGGTTACATTGCCCTTGATCAAGCCCTACCAGACCTCCTACACCCTCCTCGCCATCGATTTTGGATCACTGTTCCCTTGTTCTTGGGTTTGTTAACACTCACTTCCTTTCCCTTGACCCCCCTCCCCCATGCCCCCAGAACCATCAGTCCCATTGTTTTCTTCTCGGGCTTGTTTAATCCCACCTCTTGTATAGGCCTACTGGGGAGAACTTTGGCAGGAACCTGACATTTTGAGCCTTCGTTTCTCCCTCCAGGAAATCGGCGCAATTGTTCCTATCTCATCTAGGTATGTTATCCAGAAACGGTTTCTTGCTATACAAGCAAGCTTCAAAATAGTTTGTGGGAAAATGGAATGAAAAGAGAAAGAAGTTTTTCCACCTACTTCTTGCTGTGGTTGTGGTTGTGATTCTCCGTCACACCACAGCCTCTCCAAACCATCCAAGTCCACTTCTCCTGCTGCGCAAACCATGTCTCTTGGTTTACGTGTTCTCTCGTCATGGTCTCCTACAGTATTTGTCTTGATGAGCTGTACCAGCTTGGCTGGGCGTACCATCTTCTACATGTGCCCATGTCCTGAGCGGTGTAACAGCTTCATCACTGGTTTCTCAGGGATGCCAGGTGTGTCTGTAGCAGAGTTCCTGGACCCAGTCCTGCATAGATGGGCATTTGGGTTGTTTCCATCTTTTTGCTGTTTTCCTGCAAAATTCTGGAAGTTCCCTCGGATGCACTCAGTTAAAGGTATATTCCATTAAAAGTACACGGGGGTGGTATATTTGGGGTAAGGCACTCTGGGTGCTTGAAACGCACCTACATCTGGAGAGAAGATTTCTGGGAGCAAAAGGTGACCCAGCGGGTGGTGAGCACGGACTCTCAGGACAGGGGGCTGTTTGATGGTTGGGCTTTTAAAAACCAAATGGATGTATTCCGTTGAGTTAGCGCGTCTCCAATAATTTTAACTGGAGATTCCCTGGGTGGTACAAATGGCTAACACCCACAGCTGCTAACTGGAAGGTTGGTGGTTCAAGTCCACCCAGAAGTGCCGTGGAGGGTAAACCTGGAGATTCACTTCTGAAAGACCAGCCTTTGGGACCCCATGAAGCACTGATCTGCTCAGATAGGCACGAGTTTGCTGTGTGTTGTGCTGATGGCAACTGATTTGAACAAATTCACCTAAAACTTTTATTGATGTGTGGTTAATAACAACTTTTTTCCGCCTCCCAAGTGTTGTGAGGGGAAAAAAAAACACGTCGCACGTAGGCTGACACATAGTTGTTTTTCAAGCATGAGACTGACCTGGAGGCTCCTGCTGAAGGTGCAATGTGTGGGCACCTGGGGGGCCGCACATTCTGGCCCCACAAGGAGCCCTTATCGTTTCTTCCCTGTGCAGGTGGATCCTGGGGTTGTCTGAGCCCCGCTCTCCCAGAGAGAAGTGCCAACAATACAGATAGAAATCTCCCCAGACAAACAGTGCCTTCTGAATCACCCTCTCTACTCTCGGTCAGACAATCTTTCTGTCCTTTCTGGGACTTGAAAACCCGAGCGAAACAGGCGGAGCAGGAGGTCCAGGTGGAGCCTCCCTGGGCCCCTGTGCAAACACCGGAGTATAAAGGCTGTTAGGCACCGGCCCCGGCAGCCTGCTGCGCCGCAGTCCCACGGGCACCATGGAGGCCCGAGCGCTCTGGCTGCTGGCCGTGGTCCTGGCCGGGGCGCTTTGCAGCTCCACTGGGGAATTTGTCGGCCTGTGTGAGTAGGTCTGAAAGGAGGTGGTGGCAGGGAGGACGCACAGCGAGTGAGGAGGACGGGAGAAACTCCAGGATCGGGGGTCTCTCCGTGGCCTGGCTTCCATGTCTGTTCAACAGATAATTGAGTAGATGCACACGGTTCTGGCCGTGGCCTTTCAAAGAAAGGCAGTGGTCTCACTGGACAGGCAAGGAGACCAAGGCTCATGCAAAGATCCATGATTTACCAAAAGCAGTCCTCCCCAGCCAGCCTCCAGAGGACCTCCTCCAGACCCCCACTATCCCAAGGCCTTCTTGCATTCCCGAGGCTTCTGGATTATAATGCATCTTCAGACTCATTGGGGCCTGTTTTTAAAATTAAAAAAGGAAAGATGTACGACAGCTAGTGATTATGTCAGGGCCGTTTTCAGTGCACACACGAGAAGAAGGAAGTGTGTTTGCTGACGGGAGATGTAGCTGTTCGCTTCATCCAAGTCTGACTCCATCAGAAAGGGGTTTTGTACGGGTGATGTTGGTGCTGTTGGGGGTAGGGGGAGAATGTGGGTTAGTGGTTCAAACCCATCGGCTGCTCTGAGGGAGAAAGAGGAGGCTTTCTGTTCCTGTCAAGACTTAAAGCCTCCGAAACCCACAGGGGCAGTTCTACTCTGTTCTGTAGGGTCTCCGTGCGTTCGAATCGAGTCCGTGGGAGTTTTGAGAGATGGCAGTGGGTTTGGATTGTGGACCAAGAAAGAGGCTATTGAGGGGCAGACGGGCTCTCTACCATTCCGATCTCTGGCTGATGGGGGTTGAGGGAGAGATGGCAGAAAGCAGCAAGCCGATGTGCTTCCAAACCTGTACGTGCTCCTGACACTAACTGGGCTTGTCTGGGACAGCGGACAACCAGTGTGCTGTGCCCGCCAAGGACAGAGTGGACTGCGGCTACCCCGAGGTCACCTCTGAGCAGTGCAACAGCAGAGGATGTTGCTTTGACTCCAGCATCCCCAGGGTGCCCTGGTGCTTCAAGCCGCTCCAAGAGACAGGTAAGCCCCACATGCCACTTTGGCCTTGGCAGTCACCCCCCACCCCTCCAAGGCTGCCCTAGGTAGCCCCTTCCTTGCTGGGCCCCCAGGTGGAGACACCAGGTCTCTCAGAAGCTGAGCCCTCCGAAGGTTCCCCCAGCACGGTCACCATGCACTGGGGGAGGCTTGTGGCCAGGGCAGCTGGTGGCCAGCCACTGTCGCCTCCTCTCCTCCTACCCAGGAGCTTGTGCAAAATGCATAAGCACAATCATTTTAGATTAGTACTCAAAATGAAGGTGAAAAATGAATCCAGACATAGGTAGATTTAGCAAGCTGGGTAGATTTCTGTGGCCATTTCAAGCAGGGACTAACCCAGAACCCTGGAGGACGTGCTCTCCCCATCAGACAGGGCGTGGGAGGCAGCTCTGGGCAGGTGCTTCCCTGCCCCATGGGGCCAACCCTGGTGAGATGACAGGTGGGTGCTGGAGGGCAGTGTCCCTGCCTGAGCCATGCTGTGCCCACTCTGCACCTGTCCCAGGCCACCTTGGGCAATGCTCTGCCGCCGTCATCTTGAGATTCTTCACCATTTTTAAGAACATTCTGCACTGGGCCCCTAACCAGGTCTCTGGACTTGGTCCAGTGCCTGCGCAGTTTCCTGCCAGGGGTCTTATCCCGCCGCCGTCCCTCCCCCTCAGCCTCCCCCTCTGACTCCGGACCTTCTCTACCTATTCCCCTCGCCTCCCCCTCCCTCTGTCAGTCACACAGCAGGGCGCTGCACAATTACCTCACCCCTCCCTGCCTAGGCAGGGCGTGCACCTGTTCAAGCAACAGATGGCTGCCCTGGCGCCCGGCGGGACTGCCCACCTCATCTGGGTCTTGGGGCAGGCTACAAGCCACCTGGCCTGTGTGGTGCCAGCCTACCTTCTAGAGCATACCTCAGGGCCACACGGGTCAGGATCCCTGCTGGGCCTGACCCCTGAGCCCTAGGGAGGAGGCCCGCCCTGAAGGCTCTTCCTCCTTCCCTGCAAACTGGGGAGGAGACCCAGGTAGGGCTTTAGGCCAGGGGAGAGTCGGCCTTTTGCCTCGTCCCTGACCTGGCTGTGCTGGGCTCTCCCATCTGAGACGCAGAGCCCTACCGGCCTGCCCACGTCCCCGGTATACATGTTGCTCCAGCCCCCCAGAGCCTGCTACCTCACCTGCTTTTGTTTTTGTTTTTTTTTTTGGGGGGGGGGTTGTTTGAGGTGGGGAGGGGGGCTCATCTCCATCCATCCCTGGGGTCTTCGGGGAGCAGGTGGGGCTGCGGGGCACTGTGACCCCAAGCCCGTCTTCCCCTTGAGGCTCACAGAGACCCTCTGCTTGCTTTCAGAGTGCACTTTTTGAAGTTCTGCCCGCTGACCATGGACACCTTCAGATGTGAACATCCTCCCTGGGAGCGCTCTGCGCCCCCCCTTCCCTCCAGGGTGTCCTGGGTCCCCAACCCCCTGTTCCTGCTTCACCCTCGGGAGCCCCGTGTTCAGGAATAAAGCCTCCACTGCGGCCTGGGGCGCTATGCTGCTGTGCTTTGTCTCCATTCTAAGCCCACCTCGTCGGGACGGGGTGTGAGCGTGAGGGTCCCAGACCTCCTTCGTGAGTGGAAAATTGTTCCCCAGTAGTTGCCTTGCCACGTGAACGTCACAATTCTCAAGCCCAGTGCGGGCCTAAGACATGTCTAAGGGGTTCCATTCTCCCTCGACCTTGAGAAAAAGACTTCCCGTGCACAATTAAAGAAAGGACAAGATGGTCGCAGCTTCCCTCGAACCAGCCAGTGAGGCCATCCCGTGGGCCGTGATTTTATTCTGGGATCTATTTGCAAATCAGGTGGAATGGTTGTGACACTTTAGGGTTTTGGGGGGTTTTACTGCTTTTTTCTTTGGTTTTGGTTGTTAAAACCCCACGGCAGCTATGAGGTTCATGGGAGTGCAAAACAGTGAAGACGTGTTCCGCTAGCTACAACCAGGAAGGCTGAGGCACCGCGGATGAAAGGCCTGGCAGCCTGCTGGTGAAAATGCCGCCATGGCAGCCCTGAAGGAAGGAGCCCATGCTTCTCAGATGCACACAGCCCCGCTGGCGCCTGGTTTCAACGGGGCCCCAGGGGATCCCGCACAGGAGGCCTTGGCAAGCTTTAGGTCCTCAAGTTGCCCACCTCCCTCGCTCTCCCTCCCACGGGCTCTTTGCAGAAGCACCAGGAGAACTGGTCGTGGGAAGCTGAACAGGCTCAGGCTGGCGCTTTTACAGCGAGTCTGCTCAGGGGACCGTCTTCACACCACAGGCCCACAATTCCACCCGGCTCCTGCACATCCTGCGTGGCCAGGATGGTGCCGCTTCTGGGGGTGGGGTCCTGAGCAGAGCCCCAGGAAGTTCAATGCCAGGGGCTGCCCAGTGGACTCCTGCTCCCTCCAGGCATCCCCGCCCTGTGCCAGAGCACAGCCTTGCGCCCCAGTGTTCCCAGTGGCTGACCTTCTGGAAGGAGGTGACCAGACTTGTCTTGCGAGGTGCTCACAAGTGGACCCCAGCCATCTGCCCTAAGGCTAGAAGCACAGCACATTCGTGGTTGTTCCCATGCAGTGCGCGCACGCACGTGCACACACACACACCCTTACCCACCTTGAACTGTCACTATCTTTGTCCTACACAAGAGACCACCAGGGAGTACTCCAAACGTCACCTGGTGAGAGAGGGTGATGTTGGGGTGACCTGATCTCTAACTCCAAAGCCCATGGGGGTTCCCCACAAGGATCCTGATTGACTCTGAGTCCCCCAGATCAATTCTGGCAGTGACCTCTTCACGTTTCTGCCACGCTGGCCATGCCCAGCCCTGGGGGCCAGGTCTGATGCTGGAGGGGTCTGAGGTGGTGCACAGCCCCTGGACCTCAGTGTCAGGCCCTTCTCCAGCAGTGGGTCTGAGGTACACTCCCTTCCACCCCTATCCACCAGAGAATCTTCCAGATACCCCTTCCTGTCCCTCTGTGCCCTGGCCCCTCCAGCATTCTTGAACCCCATCTTTTAGCTCACCCCCAAGACTGCAGGGCTGGCCCATCCCCTGCTGAGCTCAGGGCCGGAGGCTGGACTCTGATGGGTGTACTCTTGCGCACCGACCCTTGGGCACCAGGGAGGCCATGGGGAAGGCAGTCAAAAGTGACTGACTGTCTGGTGGCATAGTACTTATGAGTTGGGCTGCTAAGCGCGAGTTCAGCAGTTCAAAACCATCAGCGGCTCATGGGAGAATGACAGGGCTTTCTACTCACATGAAGAATTAAAGTCCAGGGACTCCACAGGGGCAGTTCTACCCTGTCCTGTAGGGTCACTAAGAGCCAGTATTAACTGGAGAGCAGTGAGTTTGGTTCACTAAGGAAGGAAAGGGGACAGTGGTAGCTCCCCCACTCATCTAGGGGCACCTCATGTGAAGCTTTCTTTCAAGTCTTTTTCTCCCATGGGCCCCGGGGAAGGAAACAATGAGAGTCTGTGGGTCACAAGAATCTAAGGGAGGGCCCTGGATGGCCCCAGTAGCTGCTGGCATGCATGCTCTACAGCCGGACAAGCACCCCACAGGAAGGGTTTGACCCCTTATAAAAATGGGGTATTTGGGTGCCATATCTGCCTGGGTCAGAAGCAGGTCCCAGAGGGCATCTCAGCTGTTGGGACTTCTCCAACTACTTGGGGTGCTGTCTTCTGGTCACTTGCCAGAGTGGGCACATCTTTGGGAACATGGTGGGCCCCCCATTTGCTGGCTGTTCACAGGCCCCGTTCTGAGAAGCCTGTCTGCCAGGAGCTTGAAATGATCACCCAGGGTCCGATGCAACCACTGGTACCGACACCACCCCAGCCCAAGAGCCTCATTGGGCTACCTCCTAGGTCAGGGACTGGAAAAGCGGGCAGGTGGATGGGTGGCTGGCACAGCCCCTGACAGCTCCCACAGCTGAGCTGCAGTGCCTTCCAGCTGAGCACAAACGACTCCACAGAACTTAAACCTCTGAACCAGGAGTCAGGATACAAAACGCCAGTATCCAGTAAAACATGGACATTGTCCAACCACAGACGTGACCACATGGCCCCATCTGCTGGTCAAGACGTGGAACTGCGGCTCTTTGTTCATCCCAGCTTAATCCTGCCCCAGTGACCCCTCTCACCTTGTAGATGAGACAAGTTTATGGATGAAGGCACTTCAGCTTCCCAACACCACCTAAATCCAGAGCAAAGCCCATTCCCGTAGATCTTCTGCCCCAGTCCCAATCTGAACAACCCTCTATTAAGATGCCCTCATGATGTGGGGTTGGTATCTTTATGCCATCTCTCACCCAACTTTGCTTAACAGCAGGGCTGTCCCTGGTGGTCTGAAGCCAGAGGTCAGTGGCAGGCCCCAGACCCCATCACTCCTCTCTACAAATCTGCTCCTGTGCTCCCTCCTGCCTGCTCCCCTCTAGGGCTTGGTGGGTGGCCATGGGGTGAGGTGGGGATCAAGAAGAAGGAGCTGTTTGAACCAGTGGTCCTTAGAGGGGGCTGTGCTGCCCAGAGCATGTCTGCCAATGTGTGGGTGAGGTCCGAGCATCATCTGATCAGGTGGGGGGTGGGGGGGGGTGAGTGTCCCTGGGAGCCCAGACTCTGCCCTTACTCTGGCACCTCTGAAAAGTGCGTTGGGGTGAAAGCTCTAATCCTCTCTGCCAGCTAAAGTCAAGAAATAGGGTGCTAAGCCACACCTCAAGTCTGGAGGGTCATGGACCCTGAGCCCCTGCCCCAGCCCAAGTACAAACTCCCACATCCTGGCTGGGTTTACAAATAACGACACCCCAAAAGTCAGAAACCAAACCCACTGCCATCAAGTCAATTGATTCATAGCAACCCTACATGAGGTTTCTGAGACTGTATATCTTTCTGGGAGTAAAGAGCTTTTTCTTCTAAGGAGCGGCTGGCCAGTTTGAACGGCCAACCTTCTGACTTCTGATTTCTGCCAATTAAGGGGAAAATTCATTTTGCTAGAAAATGGATCCCACGGCCCAAGGGACAGGAAGCAGAAGCGGCAGGTCCAGAGGAGAACCTTCCTCGAGAGCCCACACAGAGTGCAAGCCTCCCCCTCCAGCCAGCCCCCCGACTGTGAGACCAGAGACCGCTGTGAGCGCCATCCACCGGGTCAGCGCTGCACGACTAGACAAGCACTGATCTGGGCACACTCTGAACGGGTGAAGGACATGGCATGGGCATGGCTGTCAGGTGCCACGTGTCGGTTCTGACCCGAGCGACCCTGTGCACAACAGAACAAACCACTGCATGGTTCTGTGCCATCCTCACCACAGTTCCTGTGCCTGAGCCCACTGCCGCAGTCTCTGTGTCGGTCCGTCCCCTGGAGAACCGCCTGAGGCATGTGAGACGAAGACAATGCATGGGCCTAGTCTCTCATTAAGATGTGCCCACAAACCTAACTGGACTTCCACTTCTCTTTGTGGGTTTTGCCAAGGTGGGGCAGTGGTCTGGCTTCTCTGCTCCGAAAATGGAGGGTCCACTTCCAAAGCCCACCCCCTCCCCCTGAAGGCTAAGGTGGGGGCTTACTCATTGGGTCAAGACCACTGGTCCTGCCCAGTGGCCTCTGAACTAGCCCTACTACCTTCCAGGTGGGTGGCCCCTCAGACCCCAGCCTTCCTCCCCCTGGGCTGGAGCCCAATGGGGCACAGGGTGTGTGCTCTGGGCTCTGCCGCTCCTGGCGGCAGCCTTCAGTCTTGTCTTGGGCTTTCCAGAGAGTAAGCTCCACACTCCTTCCCTCCGAGCCCCCGCTGTGCACGGGCCTAGTGCCCACCAGAGGGAGCCTTTGGGCACCTACGTCTCTCCCTCCACGGTTCCTCTGCTCCCCTCCAGATGCCGCCTCCAGGGGCATGCCAACAAAGCTACCCACAGAAGGGGAAGCTAGACAAACCAACTTGTCCAGGATCCGAGCTAGCGGGTCACTGGGCTGTGGATGCATTCACAGCTCCAGGGTACAGCAGCACTGGGCAGAGACCGACAGGCTGCTCGCTCCGGGGAAGGGCGAAAATGGGAAAGAAAATGCTGGGTGTGTCGGGCAGATCGGTGGAACTTCAACACATAAGCTTTCATAAAAGTCAAACTTCTGGAACGGATTGCTGTACATGCCTCGCTGTAACAAACAACCCGAGGGAGCTCCTGTTGCCCCTTACCTATCACAGGTGTGTCCCCCTCCACCCCGAGTCTCTGCCTAGCTGATCTCTGTGTGAGCCTTTCACCCGTAGCAGGTCCACACCTCCAGTCAGGAGCTCTGCTTCTGTCCATCGAACCGCGTTCAGATCTCCTGGGAGATGCTGTGGCTGTCCTTCAGCCTAGGTTTCCCGAAAGACTGCAGCTTACACTGCGTGTTGTGTAAAGGTGCACGTGTAAGACTGTTTTTCATACTCCCTCCTGAACGGAGTCATAGTGCATTGTTAGAAACAGCTTTGGGGGCACTGGAAAGCCAGTGGCTGGATGGATTTT